TAATAATTAAGTAGATGTCAGTACAACTTAGGAAGTTTAAAGGTCTAATAAAGTTAACCTGAATACAGAGTATGTCCTCCATCAACAAAGTTAAGCAACCTGATAGAGGAGCTATTACAGCAATTATCAGTCACTTGTCATAATTGCATGAAGAATAGCTTTCATTCGGCTTGAAGGAAATGCCCTGATATTTGTCCATTATCTAAAGCCAGGCCATGCTTCTGGCTTGAACGAAACTCGAACCCGTGTCTCCCACATACTAATTCAGCCCTACTACCAAGTGAGCTACAAAGCGACATGTTGGAAGCGAGATACAGTTGAGATGGTTCTTCTTTCTAGTGGAGGGGACTTATTTAGTTTGAAATTAGGTAAATTTCATTTGATCGGCGGCATTGACAATGAAATGAAGCCTGCTATGTAGGTAACGCATGTTTGTTAAATATATATTTCTGCGGAGTTTGGTTTAGCCTCTATTTTCGGTATCGGATTTTTACGCAGATAATGTGAGTACCTTTTGGAGTGTTCAATAAAAGCATCAAAATTATTCAAGTGTTATTTAATGTGAGATGATAAATAACCATCAAAGTGCACAGTCCCGAGTTTTTTTATAAAAAAAAGTCACATTTTGACAACGATCGGAAGTTTTTTTTGAAGCCAGAACAGGAAACAGCTCTGATAGGTCTTATAAGGGCAGAAGATGTCCTACAGCAGCAGAGTGTACGTCAGTAAGCATAAATGAAATAACGGAGAATTTGTAATTGCCAGCATTTATTTATGCTCCTGCGGAGAATGCTCTTCAGGAACGTTTTCTTTGGGTCATGAGACGTTTTTACTCTTAACATCGATTTTCGGCTATCTCTTCCTAGAAGAGATCAAAGAATATTTCTTAAATTCTGGGCGTAGAATTCCACCCTTACTCTCCCTCAGAAAAGAATTGGCATCAAGGAGATGACTTAAGGAGATCCTGACATTAACAGGCTGGACTGATTTGCCAAACAACATGACATTGACTGTGCCAACGCTAAGAGTTTATAAAACAAGTGCGTCGCTGATGACAAGATGGTGAAAGCTGACAGCAACTTGGCGGGCAAGACGACCCTGATGGAGCAAATATCAAAGAAAATTATTCAAGCTAAGAAACCACTCAGGTTGTGAAACGAGCAATGAACCCATAATTAATAAACGTCATTATTAAACGTTCTCAAAAATGTACCAATGTCAACGTGAATATCACGTCCCTTAGCACACTCTAACGTCGTTCGAGCTGTAAAACTTCAATCTCTCTCGCATGATTTTTTTAAAAAACTGAAAACATAAAATCGAAGCATTGTTTCTTTATCTTACTAATTCATTAACGTATCTACATTGCTCATGTCCACATCTTCTTGAGAGTGCCTCCTCCTGATACTCGCAGGCCTTGTCATATTTACTAAGTGATCTGCACAATGTTCTTAGGTTTCCGTCTCTTGCTGCTTCTTCTTCTTTATCGCTTATAGTTTAAACGAAATACGAAAACATGGTATGTTCAGGAGAGGGTTGTTCGCCGGTTGAAACAGTTCGTGTGGAGTTGTGATTTTTTGGGTTGTGGATTTGTTGAGGCGTTCCCCAAACTTACCCCAGAAGGAGTTTAACATCAATAAAGCAACCGTTTTACGACCTGGGTTCTTCTGATTCTGCTTAGAAACTAACTTGATTTCCTCCCGCTCCTTATACTCTCGCACATACCGGGCCTTGAGTTCTCGCATTGTCACCCACGATGGTCAACGGCTAGCCTCTTGATTAATTATCGGCCAGGCGTTGACAAAATTGGCGAAACGTCTCTTGACTTTTTGTTCTTTGGGAAAGTTCCCAAAGGTCTCCTATGGTGCGATCGGGATGTTCACAGACTTGACCACGATCTGGAAAGCACCTAGGACATCCCTGCCAAACGCAACCATAAAACTCGCGAATGGTACTTGTACAAGTATCATATCTATCGATGTAAATAACGAGCTGAACTCAAGTTTTATTCAGAAAATGCTATGCCATTCCTCCCCCCCTTTTACAGGAAGTCAATTACCATAACTTATCCAGTGCTTCCCAATAGAGATAATGGCGTAATCTATCATTCTTGTAAGCTTTTTAGTGGAATTGCTGAACTGCAGAAACTCGGCCATTCGAAAAGATAATTTAAGAGCTCTACTCCTAAGAACTCCAGGTCCAGCCATTCCTAGTTAAATTTTTTCTCAGGAAATTGAAAAATGATGCTC